ACTATATGGAGTACATGCTCAACTGAGAATCTTGAACGGCATGTTTTCAAGCTACAAAAACGAGCAGCGCGAGTTCTTCTCGGTTGACATATAGACACAAGGGAAAGAAGTGTAAAGTTATTTAATTAATTAAAGAATTAAATTGATTGCCTTTTTTGCACGATGAAATAAAAGTTCGGAAGTGCTGTGTTATTTACAACAGAGTTTTTGGACAATCCGCAAAATATATATGGAACAAATGTTTATTACAAATGTGGATTATTGTACCAGATCAAATAGATATTCCAAATTGAATTTAGAGCATGTGCCCTAGATATAAGAGAAACTGAAGAAGTATCTTTTGGAGTAACGGCGGCAAGACTATGCATAGGACAGTATTCTAGAATAGGTATCAGGGACAAAGACATTTTTTACTTTTTAGTATTCTTTTAAAAGAGCTCTTAGACTTAGCCAGGAAATACTTTTTAGAACAATATAATTAGATTGTTAAACATTTGATTCATCTTAACACTATAGACAGAAATTTATTAGGATAAGATTAATATTTCATTGTAGATACTAACTTTATATAATTTATCATAGCTAGAGAACCACGAGTTTATCAGTTTTACTGACAGGTGTAAGCATCTTTAACTGATAAAGTTGCTAAACTATACGTGGCAGTGAGTCATCATAGGCTTGACACTTACTGAAACCCACTTGTAGAAGAATTTCAGTTTTCATATAATAATCATCTTAATTTTTTTATTTCTTTAATGTACTTAATAATCATTTAATTAACATCCTGTTTGTTATGATTCCAAGTTCCCTTAGTAAACTAGAAACACTGCCCACATATTTAATTTACATGCCTTCCTTTTAAAGTAAAACCGCTTTCAATAAACCCACTCAACGTTCTAGTAACTACGCTAAAATATTTTAATTGACCCAAAAACTGCCGTTCTTATTCCAAAAGACTTTAGATACGATACATTATAAACACATTAATCCAGTATCACTCATTAAAAATCTCCTTGTGATCTTTTTTAATAAAAAAACATTTGGCACTTTCTCAACTGACTTTATGAAAGTCTTTTACGAAAGGTCACAAAGAGGAACTTGTCTAAACATGTGTTTTAGATTAAAATTACTAAGATTACAAAGCAAGGTTAAGAATTTCAAAACTGCAAAGTTTGACCCAGAGGACTTCCTGGTATTAAACATAATACCACACAAGTCTTGAACTAATTACTGAACTAATTGAACTAATTGCGGAGCGAGCGAGCCTGAAGCAGTGAACTCTAAGAGAACTGGAACGATAACTTGGCCGCCATCTTTGAAGTCACTCATGATGGCCGCCATGTAGGTATGGAGTGGAAAATACGCCGCCTAAAAGATGTCTGTTTTCGACCACTAAATAGCTGTATTTCAACAAGGAAAAAAGCTAAAAACTTTCAACAATACCTGAAATTTAATACAAAACATGTTTCCAGAACGTAGAGCAGTACGTTATAAACAAAGTGCGAAGTTTTTTTCGGCACGTTCAAATTTGTGTAATATTTTGAATATCAAGCTGTTACCCAGGACGTTTTTGCTGTTAGTGGATGTAAAATACTTAGAACTATCCAGGAAACCAGGTTTGAATCTTTAAAGTTGAAGACTTTCGATAAAAAAGTGCTTTTTCTTGCTGATTTTCACTCAAAAACAAAACTTTTGACTGAATTTCCCGCTCCTCGAAACTCTCCCCAGTCCTTTTGAAAGTTAATTTATTGCTCGCTGAGCTCGCGAGAAGCGCCATCTTGGCTTCGGGCAAGGGCAAGTATGGGCATGTTTACCTGCAGTTGGCCACTGACAGTTCTATATTTTTATAGTGTAATAAATCTGTGTATAATGTGGTAAATGCGCCTAGCAGTAAACAGACTTGATATGAAATCTGATAGCAAAAACTTGTGTTATATAATTAACGGTTTCTACCATACGGCATGGTATCGCTGGTGGGTCGCCATTCGCATTACGCTGGTTAAGGCTGTACCTTGAAGGGGTGATGGTTCATCACCCTTGGTGGTCTGCGCAAGATACCACTGGCATGGATCTTAACCTGAGTCTAAGTAACAGTAGTACCAGTAGTCGTTCCAGGCCACCCCTCGGTCACCCGGGCTAACACCTCACCATCCAAACGGGTAAGTATGGTGAACGAAGGTGTTAATGTCAATGAGACGCACATGTTTAATATCTGTCACCTGTGATAGCCCTTTAACCCCTGGTCTTGGCTACTTTAATATATAATATATTGCTTTTTCGCAGTTGTTCCACTCATGGTAAGAATCGATTCCTTACTGGCTTAAGGCCTTAAGTTCACAGCTCACTAGTCGCTGCGACTAATAACTGTGCTTGATATATAAAATAATTTGTGCTATTTAGTGTAGTTCTATTTCACTATTTGCTTTAATGCCCGCAGCAATCCCTACCTTGCAGGTACCCTAGTTAGATATTTTATTTTTCCATTATACAGTTACAGTTTTGATAAAATATACAAGATACAATTCATATGGAAAGAAGACTAACAAGCCCGTCAGGGCTTTTCTAGTAGTCCACCCTAAAAAAATTAAAAAACAAACTAATATAACAAAGGAGAATAGTGTCAGGTAATGTCAGGTTCAAGATATATGAGGTCCACTAATACAAATTAACTTTATAAAGTTATAAATTATTTTTATTTACATTTTTTGTGAGCACAACTCACATTTTTTGTGAGTACAATCTTCAGAAGAAAGAAGATATAATTTTAGATTGCACTTAAATATGTATTTACTATCACTATTTTTAATGTATTCCGGCAACATATTCCACACTACTGTGCATCTGTTTTTTGTGGAATACAGTCCATAGTTTGTTTTATTGTAGTGTTTGTGTAATTTCACAGAGCCTCTGGTATTATTGCAATGAATAACATTGTTTTTTATGCAAAGTGAATCAAATTGAGGTGGTAGTGTATTTCTTACTGCGTCGAATGTGAACAAGCCAACTTGAAAAGCATTTATCTTATTAATATTTAGTATTTCTAGCGTTGAAAAAAGGGTTGAAGATAAGAAAGTATAAGGCAAAAATGATATTTTTTTCAGAATCTTTTTCTGTATCGTTGATACTGACTTTAATCTTGTTTTATAGTTGCTAGCCCATAGTATATTACCGTAATATAAATGTGGGTAAACAAGAGTATGATATAGAGTTATGAGATGTTTTTTATTTAGGTAGTGACGAACTTTACTAGTTACTATACAATATTGTCAACTTTCCCTGCGGGAGGAAACAGGAGAAAACCCACAACTTTCGGCAGAGTGTTGACTTTTACTCAGCCTAGTCCCAAGGCCTCTTAATTAGTATGCCTATTGTGCGTTTCTGCATATTAATGAGGTGACGGCTCTGCACAGAGGACTTGGGACTAGTCTGACTCATTGAACTATAAATAAACTGGAAGGCTAACTGCTATGATGAAGGCCTATGATTTGATGAAGCCAAAATAGTTTTTCTGAGTTATGAGCAGAAATACTTGACCCCAAACGTCGGGCAATATATCAAATTGAAGCTATTGAAAATTGCTATTCGCTGTGGAAATTTCAAGACTTCAGCGAAAAGAAAAATATTTAAAAAATACAAAAACAACTGCAAAACGGCAAATTATCGGTAATTATGTTTGTAGTTTTTTAATATTTCCCTTTTAGCTAAAGTCTTGAAATTTCTACACCAAATAGTGTTTTTCAATAGCTTCAATTTGATATATAGCCCAACGTTCAGTGTTGAGTATTTCTGCTCATAACTCAGAAAAACTAAAATACACTGGCTTCAATTTCCCCCCCTGAGTTAGCCTTCCAGTTTATTTATAGTTCAATGGTCTGACTTTACTCTTCACATGAGGATTGGGTTCGAGTCCCATTGAGAAAGTTCTCACTGAGATTTGGGCCTGTCACCTTGGCAATTGCTAGATAGTATACTTCAAAATAAGGTTTCCATTTTTATATCAATTTTTAAAATAATTAAAATAAGTTTGGGTTAGGTTAGGTTAGGGTTTAGGTTAGGGTTAGGTTGGGGTTAGGGTAAGGGTTAGTATTAGGGTTAGGGTTTAGTTTTGCGTTAGGATAGTTTTTTCCACGTTATAAAAACGGAAACCTTATTTTGAAGTATACTATCTAGCGATCACCCTGCCACCTTAGAGGTGAAAGACAACCTAGGGCGCCAACCACTTCGCCACCAAAGCACATTTATTATTTTGAAAATTGGAGGAAGTAATCGTTTGGGTAATCGCTACCTCAATACTTTTACAAAAAATTCATTTGTATCGATCGAATCGATACTGGTGCGACAAATGGCAGAGGAATGGGGGCATGGGGCGAGCTTATTTATAAATTGGGCTAATTGGCATTTGGTGCATTCTACGTGCATTTTTGGGCTGTCTATGGTTTGCGCCATTGAACTAAGTAAACTTATAGTTCAATGGTTTGAGCACGTTTTCTGGAAGGAAAAATGAAATGTACTTCAGATGACTTTTATAGATTATGTATTTTTTACTATCTAAAATTCGCTCAAAATATAGTAGAACTGACAAAAATATTTGCAGAAAGATATTTAGGATTAGGAACCTTTTGGGACTTGATTTAAAACCGTATAAAGTTAGAAATTTAAAGGTGATCTACAGTCCGATCTGCGCATGTGCACAAAGGAGCCCAATTTTATGATACAAACAGTTTAACTATGTTTTGGGTTCTTGCAAAGCCTGATTGTTGTTTCTTCATCATTTATTATACTCTAGAAGCTTGAAAATATAAATAGTTGTCGAATAAAGCTCAATATTTTGGACGCAAAAATGTAAACAAAGGATTTGTTTACATACGGACTGTAGGTCACCTATTGTTAAAATGTTGAGATAAACAAAATAAAAATATAAAATGTCTCTTGATTTCTCTCTAACAAAGTGGAAACACTGCTACAGGAAAATAGGAAATGACAGGAAGTGAAATCACGTGAATACATTAAATTATAAACACAAATTTTTTCCTCAAAGAGTGAATATTTCTTTATTTTTTCCCTTTAATTTTCAAAGGATAAAGTTAAAAATCTAACCATGGCTGCATACGATAATGAAGTTCAGAAACAAGTAAGTTTTAAACGATATTATATGTTACGATCGCGAAAATTTTGCACATTTTCAAAGTCATTTCTGTCATGTGTTTTATATATAAATCGAAATGTGACAGTGTGATGATTTGGGTTTATTTTGGCTGTTCAGATCAAGCATATGATGGCGTTTATAGAACAAGAAGCGAAAGAGAAAGCAGAGGAAATAGATGCCAAAGTAAGACTGACTGAAATCACAATGACTTTCACTATATTTCAATAATATTTATAAAGTTATTAAATTAATCATGGCTTTTCATGCATGACAGTCAAATTACTGTACCTACTCGTTCACCTGGTTGGATTTCTCCATTTTCGCCCGCCAAAGATTTACGCCAGGAAAATTACAACTTTAGAAAACCCGCCAAAAGCACAAACTTTCTTAAACACACGCAGGCCGCCAATCTGCCGCCTTTTAATATTTTACGCCAAAAACTCCTTTGTGGTACGCCAAGTGGCTATGCTTTTCGCCAAAGATCTTGAGCTGATGGGTATCGGAATCCAATCAGGCTCGTTCATGCTTGATCTAGTAACATCATATGCACAATAATGGTGAAACGTTGACGAACATGAATGCAAACTAAACAGAATGCTATTGGCTCGCATTGTTATTGGAGTGTTTGCACCTGTTATGCACCAGACAATGTAAATCCTGTGGCCCCAACTGGGGAGGGGGGTATTTAGCAGGGAAAGTGGTCGGTTTTGATTGTAAATGTGTCCCCGGGGGATGATGGGGGACTTGGACGACATTTTCACTTACGGTAGACAATGTGGGAACGAAAGCATAATTATATCCTGTGTTGCTGTTTTAGTTTTCTTTACAACAACATTAAGTACAATAACATAAATGAATTTGATTTTTTCTATTGCTGATCTATGAAATATATAATACTATTTTCCCGGGGTTCAGAGACATGCAGGCACATTAATTAATCACCCTTTCCCCCGGGGGTGAGGACAATTTCGCTCTTTTACTATCCCTCTAAGTCAAAATCCCTTCCCGGTTGGGGGGAGGGGGTTTACATTGACTGGTGCATTTCCATTCCCCTTCATTAGCATCCAATTTTGTTATTCTGACAATATTCACCTTCGCTAGTGATCATGCCAATCAACTATCACTTTCAATAATGTTCACCATCATTAGCGTTCAGGTTATCAACACCCAAATTCACTGTGATCAAATGCAATCAAACATTTATGCACATTTACTGTTTGTATTCAAAAGACTGGTAATAGTATTGTCTTCACGAAGCACTAGCTAAGAGTTTAACCCATTAAGCGCCAGCGCTCTCCCCTTGACGAGTAAAACAAGTAAAATCGTTTGGCATTAGACAGAGTAAAATACTAAAGTAGGGTACATCAGGGTGCAATGCGACTCAATGGGTTAACTAGATACATGGGCAGATAGGCCAGTTAACCCATTGAGCGCTCCCCTTGACGAGTAAAATCGTCTGGCGTTAGAGTAAAATCATCTGGCGTTAGACAGAGTAAAATACTAAAGTAGGGTACATATGGGCAGATAGGCCAGTTAACCCATTAAGCGCCAGCGCTCTCCCCTTGATGAGTAAAATCGTCTGGCGTTAGACAGAGTAAAATCGTCTGGCGTTAGACAGAGTAAAATACTAAAGTAGGGCACATCAGGGTGCAATACGACTCAATGGGTTAAAGAAAATTATGAGAGTTTAAACTCAGTATAACTTTGCCTTGTCACAAGGAAAAAGTGGTGAAATTCCCCACCTTAATGACCTAATAGCTTCAGCCGTTTCCTTGTAGTAAACGCTCTTCTGTCTCAAATTTACTGCTACTGTTTTGGCAGACATTTTCCCCGCCATTTCCGTACACTTGAGCATGCACTTTACGTTTGACCGCAGTGTTATGTGCAGCTGATTACAACTAACAAGATTTTACACACAGGCTGAGGAAGAGTTCAATATTGAAAAAGGCAGATTGGTCCAACAAGAACGATTAAAAATAAAAACTTATTACGAGAAAAAAGAAAAACAAGTCGCATTGCAGAAAAAAATGTAAGACTTTATCAAATATATAAAGGCTGCTACAAATTACAGTCAAGTGCGGTGTTCTATTACAGGCAACATTGCAATATTGTCACGCAATATTGCAATATTGATTGGCCGACTGCTCTTGCAAATTGCAACTGACGTGAACAAAGTGCAATTTTTACGTAACAGTATTAAACCATCAACTGATCATAATTATTATAATTATGAACTTTTGCAGTTGACAGTTTAATCACAGAGTAGATAAGACATACAGAGACGTAACTGACCGTTGTAAACACTGCGGAAGATTACGTTATCATGTACCCACTTTTTTTTCAGGCGACCGGGCGAAAAATGATCAACTGCGCATGCTCAGCAAGTTTAAAGTGAGTCGTCATCAGGTCGTCATCCAATCAGATACATGCATCTAGTAACTTGCCGAGCATGCGCACAAAAAAAGTGGGTACACTAGTTACGTCTCTGTATGTCTCTACTCTGTGGTTTAATTTAATACTGTTACGTAAAAATTGTAGTTTGCTCACGTCAGTTGCAATTTGCTAGAGCAATCAGCCAAATCAATATTGCGTGACAATATTGCAGTGTTGCTAGCAACGGAACACTGGATTTGACTGTAAGTTCTCCGTCCTCTGCCCGCGTCTCCTAGAACTGGCGAGAATGATTTGTCCGTTATTGCTAACTTGTTTTCATTAGTTGACCTTAAACATGACTATAAGAATAATGAAAATCATTCTACAGTTCTCAAACAAACTGTCATTCAAGAAATACATGTTTCATAACATAATACATAAAAATCAAAATAAAATTGTTAAAACTTTATGAAAGAGCGCGTGAATTGTTGTTTTTGTTCATTTTCACCACAGGCGGCCCAATCTCAGAATGAACGATCAGGTTTTGCGGGTTTTTAACAGTTTTTATAAACAAATTTATAGTCAACCAAAACTATTTTAAAAACATTCTTAAATTAGTCAAATAAATACATTTTAACAATAAAATATAGTTGACATGATAGTATAATACCCTTGCATTCTTTTAATTACTCCATGAGCTCATTTAGAGCGGTTGATGTAACATTTTCTGTGACCTACATTGTGTGTGCTCATCTATATGTAATATAACTGTTATATTACATATAGATGAGCACACACAATGTAGGCCACAGAAAATGTTACATTAACCACTCTAAATGAGCTCATGGAGTAATTAAAAGAATGCAAAGGTATTATACTATCATGTCAACTATATTTTATTGTTAAAATGTATAAAATGTATTTATTTGACTAATTTAAGAATGTTTTTAAAATAGTTTTGGTTGACTATAAATTTGTTTATAAAAACCTGCAACACCTGATCATTCATTCTGAGATTGGGCCGCCTGCTGAGCTAGACGCTCCATTACACGTTTTGATTTTTGAATGTAATAAAAATTAAAATATCCTGGCTTTCATTTCTGCATACAAAAAAATTCAAAACATTTTGTAGAAACATGGCTGAATGGATATTTAAAACGTGTATCTATTTCATGAAATAATGGGTCCTGTCAGATTCTTTGAGACACCATAATGGATATGACCACTGCCCACCCGTGTGTAATTTGAAATAAGGGCTGGATGGGAAACTAAAGTCTAATTTGGAGTGGCCTAAGTTGGTTTCATCTATATAACCACATTGTTAATTAAACACACTTTTCCTGACATTTTGCAGCCAAAGATCAAACCAGCTAAATCAATCAAGGTTAAAAATTTTGAAGGCAAAAGATGACCATATTAAGGTGGGTGTGATGAGTTTTTCAACAAAGAAACGTCAACCAAAAGGAGAAATGTTTATAGTCTGAGACTGAATTTAATAATTCAAAACGTTTGTGTTTTGCAGCAAATTCTGGAAGAGGCCTGTGAGAAGTTGGCTGATGTAACAAAAGATTCAGAAAAATATTCAAGCGTTTTACTTGGCCTGATCACACAGGTAGAATATACCCCTTCTGGAAACTGTGTCACATTGCCTATAGAGACTTGTTTTCGTGATCGAGACAGTTGGCTTTAGTTGATGTCAGCAGATGCGTGAAAACGAGGCTCTATAGCCAAAGTGACATACTTTCCAGAAGGGTGTATTACAAGTCATATGGTAAATATTTGACATTATATATAATACCTTCAACAGAAATTATTTTAAAATATGATTTGAAATAGGAATGTTCGGTATGAGAAATTTCCGGCATCGATATACCGAAAAAATTATACCGATATTATCGGTATGCCGGTTTCCTTTGATAGTTATAAAGGAAAATAGAAGTTTGAAGGAAAGTTTGAGTAATTCTAAGTAATTCGAACGACATGCACGTACTCAGTGTAAAATCTCACTGAAGTGGAAATTCTAAATCATTGCAGTAGAAAGTTCTTTGAATTGCCATTCAGTAGTAAAATAAAGGTTATGGTTTCGCCATATAGTTGGTAAATTTAATATGGTATATACCGAAAAATTCTGGTATATCCGAAATTTCGGTATATCGGTATGGTTGAATATCCGGTATCGATATACCGATATTGATTTAATACCGATATTTTCGATATATCGGTATACCGAACAGTCCTAATTTGAAACGCCCGAAAATGTGTTGAAAAATGAAGTGCAGAGTTTTTAACATGCTGTGAGGTACCATGGTTTATATCCTTGTGAACAAGTATAGCTCTATTTTTCAGGGATTATTTCAATTGCTTGAATCTGAGGTCACAATACGATGCCGAAAAGAAGACTTAGATTTAATTAAGGTATGTTGTAAGGTTTTGCAATGCTAAGCCATCACCCTGATTTCCTATTTTATTCCATCTAACACAAGACAATTTCACATGAAACATGGTGCTACCATGGATAATAAAATAAATGGATAGGAAACTAGCTGACGTGACCTAATGTTTTCAATGGGCTGATGGCGTGGTTGGATGTCCCAACCTAGTTGCCAACCAAATTCTCAAAAACGGCATGTTTAGCAATAATACAGCTAAACAATTTAGTCAAAGAGCAAATAAATATAACCACGCCATTCTACGATGAAAACTCTAAGTATTCCCAATCAATTTTAGCAAATATTTCAAGCACTAAACAGTGAAAAATACATCACAAATTTCGTTAAAATTTGTGACGCCAATTTCGTAGCTACAAATGTAAAAAAATACAAAACAAAGACGAAAAACATTTACCTTGAATACTTTGTCGTGGCTTAGGCATGTTTTTAAAACAATTAGACCAGTTTATGCTTCAATATCACCCTTTTAAAGTGGAAAATATAGCAAAACAACAAAAATGCCGAGAACTTTGGTAATATTCGCAATACGCGTGACGTCACGTTTTTCAACAAGGACACAGAGTAGAGACATACAGAGACGTAACTAGTGTACCCGCTTTTTTTGTGCGCATGCTCGACAAGTTACTAGATGCATGCATCTGGTTGGATGACGACCTGATGACGACTCACTTTAAACTTGCTGAGCACGCGCAGTTGATCATTTTTCGCCCGGTCGCCTGAAAAAAAGTGGGTACATGAAAACGTAAGCTTCCGCAGTGTTTACAACGGTCAGTTACGTCTCTGTATGTCTTATCGACTCTGTGACAAGGATGAGGCCAATGACGTCAGAAGTTTCCTATCCAGTTATTTTACAATCCATGGTGCTACATATAGGCCTTAAAATATCTTTTACAGTGCTGTCTAACAAAATGAACGATGACTTTGAGTTTCGGCCGGACATATGTATGATGATGTCCGATGACCTTCAGTTCAGTTTGGCTCGGAAATAAGTCCGGATGACACAAATTAATATCAGCACAATGTCGATGTAATTCTGACAATAAATGAAACTTATTTCCAAGACAAAATTAACTTGCTTCCCAATAAAAGCAGTAAGACTTCGATAACATAAACCTGTTTCCACTTCACCATTTTGCTTACCGCCAGCGACATTTTGATTTATGTTGGACAAAGCTACAGTTTGGTCGGACACCAATACACTCGGGTCGGACAAAAAGTAAACCTCAGGTTTCACTTAGGTCAGACAGAATGTTCAGTGGTTTCCTCTCTACGTCGGACAATTTCACGAATGGGTTGGACAATAGGGCCATTTATACGTGACAAAATAAGTCGCGACTTACATAAGACGCGACTTAAATAAGTGGAGTTATCGCATAAATGGTTCTCTACGGCTTTGGTCTTGTTTATTTGCTATAGCTATGTTGTTTTGGTTGTTTTTGTTTTAATATGCAAGGCATTAAATTTTACGTTGTTTCAAGTTTCTGGCATGTGTAGTTAGACTTTTTGTCCAAAATTTCTTATTTAAGACGCGACTTAAATAAGAACAGCTAAAAGACCTGTTCTTATGTAATCCAAGACGCGTCTTACATAAGAATTTTGTACCTTTTATACGACAAACTCGCGTCTTACCTAAGTCGCGTCTTATGTAAGTCGCGTCTTATTTTGTTCCGTATAAATGGCCCTAATGTCTGTGACCTAGCAATATTTTAGTTAAGGCCTGTGCTACACGCGCCTTCTTCTATTAAGCTGCAATCTATCCTATTCTTAAGTTACACCAAACAACATTCAATTTGAGACACTAACCTAGATAGACGATTCTGATTATCACTTGATTCTGACAACTGGGATATTTGAAACATCAGTCACATCACACATTAAGATAAATTCACCTAGAAATCACAGCATTAACCTGTTAAGCTGCAATACAATTAAGATTGACATTTCTATAGCACAAATTTGCATCAAATGTGCGTTACATCAAGTACGATGCTTACCTAATTACTTACAGAGCCTAGAGCCGTAGACTATTTTATCGTTACAACAATGGACCTTTCCCCTTATAACTAAAATTTTGATCTAGACAAAAATTTCATCACAGCTTGAAAGAGCATCACAAAATTAGTAATATTCCAAAGTTTCGTTGCGAAATGTTGTAAAATGCGGATAATATAGCCTTGCGAAATTTGCCGTTTTTCAGTCATTTTGTATTACGCATGGGAAATTGACAGCCCAATCGGGTGTTGGGGCATCAATTTCCCGTTTGTAATACAAAATGACTGAAAATTGCAAATTTCGCAGGGCTATATTATCCGCATTTTCAAGCTTTCTTGTCTAGACCTGTCTAGATCAAAATTTTAGTTATAAGGGGAAAGGTCCATTGTGATATTACTTTCTTAACTGTGTTTATCCTAACCCACCCTGTCAACTTTCCCTGTGGGAGGAAACTGGAGACTATAGAGTCCTGAGCTTTAATGTGTTGTTAATTTTAATGATGGCCTACTCTACCATGTAGAAAATAAGAGATGAAGCTTGCTCTAAGTTCAAAGAAGCTGCGAAGAAGGATGTTAAAATCAATATAGATGAAAACAAATTTCTAAGTTCTAACAGGTAAGTTAACTATTTATACAAGAAACTAATTTTATTTTTTTAAATCATTATTGTCGATTTCAGATTACTTTTCAAAGCGCGGTTTCCAAGTTTGTTGTCAACTTGCCAATTACGTTTCCAAATTCGGAAGTTGGGCGGGAACTTCGCAACGAAGTTCGCAAGTTCATTTCAAAGTTCGAACTTCGATTGTAAACAAATGTACAAATTTCATTTATAAATTTACTTAAAAAGGCATTTTCGTCTTGGAAGACCACTGGACCAATATTTTACTGCAGTAATATGTACATAGGGCCTTATACAGTAATTTCAACATCAACTATGAACATTTGTTTGCAATCAAAGTTCAAACTTTGAAATGAACTTGCGAACTTCGTTGTGAAGTTCACGCCCAACTTCCGAACTTGACAACGTAATTGGCAAGTTCGCAACGAACTTGGGAACAGCGTGTTGAAAAGTTACCTGAAATTGACAATAGCTTGCAAATGTGGGGTTTTCTCTCTCTCTTAACAGCTCTGGGGGAGTGGATTTAATTTGTCGACGCTCAACAATTCATGTTCAGAATACTTTGGAAAGCAGACTGAGTTTATTGAGTGGTCAGGTGAGTGAAGGTTGATGAGACCGCATCGAATGCAATTAAGACAAAAGATAACGAGATGATAAACCTCATTAAGCTTCATTATCTATTGTTTGAATTGCATTCGACGCGACCGAAATTCGATGTATAAGACAGACCTTACACGTGAACAGGGGCGGATCTAGCCTCATCTGCAAGGAGGGGTGCAGGTTTTCCATGGGGTGGTGCATGAGGGAGCCTTACTGCCCACTCTCCTCTGCAGTCTGCAACGTTACTGTCCCAACATTACCATTATTTAAAATGCTGAATCTGCATGTTCGCCGTTCCGTTTTACATTATCTTTTGTTTATATCGGCTTTTTATCCTGACAGTTGCTGTAGCACAGTAAAGTAAATTTGCTTGTTAAAGTACAGTATATTTGGCTGTATAACAACCTCGACATATTTACATATTTAACCATGATGTTTAACTAAAGCATTCTGAGTATCTTCTCATAAATCAGTGAAATCGTTTCAAGAAATCGACATGCGCTAACAGTAGAAGTTCCACTACACATGCAAAAATCTGACATCTCGTAGCAAGTCTGCCAACAAGCCGTCAACAAGTTGTCTTCGCAATGCTTGTCCCAAGTTGTCAACAAGTTTGGAACAAGCTGTTAACAACTTGTAACAACCTTGTTGATATTATCAGGCTTGTTACAAGGTTGTTCCAACAAGTCCGATACAGTCATGATATAGCAGTATTGTTATAACCTTGTGTCGTCAACCTTGTAACATTCTTGTTTATAATGACTGTATCAGACTTGTTAGAACAACCTTGTGACAAGTCTGATGATGCCATCAAGCTTGTTACAAGTTGTTAACAGCTTGTTCCAAACTTGTTACAACAACTGGGAACAAGCAGTGCGAACACAACTTGTTGACAGCTTGTGAACAGATTTGTAACAACTTGTTTGCAGACTTGTAACAAATTGTGCGTTTTTACGTGTGTAATCGCTATTCGAAATGCAGAAAATGTATGGATTGTTTAGGGTGTTTACTTGTCTTACTCGTCAGGGGAAGAGGGCCACTCAGTGGGTTAATTGTTTTTTTATTTTTTTAGATGCTGCCTGAAATACGTGAACGTCTCTTTGGCAAGAATCCATCTCGAAAATTTTTGGACTGAGCAACTTAAAAACTACGAGACTTATATATGCTTTAGTATACGATATATGATGAATTAATGTAAAACCTGACGCCAATTTTTATATATTATCTTTTCATAATGATTTCGTCAAAGCACTTAGTTGCCAAATGCCATTGTATTTATTTAAATGATTATGTTGGAAAAAGGTGTGTGTTGTTATTCAATCATGTCTTTCGCATTTTTGTTTAACCCGTTAACCGTATTTTCTCTATACGATTGTATACACGCGTAAAAAATTTCACATCTTGTAGCAAGTCTGCCAACAAGCTGTCAACAAGTTGTGTTCGCACTGCTTGTCCCAAGTTGTCAACAAGTTTGGAACACGCTGTTAACAACTTGTAACAACCTTGTTGATATCATCAGACTTGTTGCGCGGTTGTTCCGATACAGTCACGATATCACAGTATTGTTACAACATTGTTTCGTCAACCTTGTAACATTCTTGTTATATCATGACTGTATCAGACTTGTCAGAACCGACAGCTTGTGAACAGATTTGTAACAACTTGTGCGTTTTTACGTGTGTAGAAATCTACACATATAAAAACGCACAAGTTGTAACAAACCTGCAGCAGACTTGTAGCAATGCTGTTCCAACAACTTTTCAACAGGATGTATTCGCACTGCTTGTTCCCAGCTTATTATAGAGAGGTGAAAATACCCCGGTTTACGGGTACGAGTGATATACACGTACCCGTAAATCGAGGAACGACTTGTAACTTAAGAAATCCAAGATATTCCGGAGTGAGAAAACCGATCAGAGAATGGTAACTTTTGCTGTTGAGGTTCGCCATAGATTGTTGAACACTTTGACAAGCATATGTGCATTATTTATTTGGGTAAGATGTTGAAAATTTTTGCTATTTAAACGGCCCACAAATAGTAAACAGAAAACACCCGTACCCGTTTGTCTTTTACGCGTAGACCATGGTTTACCGCGGGGAAACGGGTAGAAATTACGGGTAAAAATGCTGATATCAGCAAAAATTGGTAAACAAAATGGCGATACTCGAGCTCAACAGATTTGTTACAAGTTGTTCCAACAACTTGTTATCGTCCTGCAATTCAACAAGTTGTGAGTGACAACTGACAACCTTGTAGCAATTTGATAAAATAACAACATTGCTATAACTTGTTGACAAGCCTGTTGCGAACACATCTTGTTAACAAGTTGTGGGATTTTTATGTCGTATGGAAAAGTCGTTGCACATTGATTTGCGAACAACATCTTTCTGCACGTGTGTATAAGAGACTACACATTCAAAGATGTCACATCTTGTGACAAAGTCTGCCGATAAACCGTCAACAAGTTGTGTTCGCACTGCTTGTCCCAAGTTGTCAACACGTTTGGCACAAGCTGTTAACAACTTGTAACAAGCTTGATGGCATTGCCGGGCTTGTGTCAGCCTTGTTACAAGGCTGTTCTAACAAGTTTGATACAGTCATGATATAACAACTTGTTACAACCTTGTGTCATCAACCTTGTAACATTCTTGTTATATCATCAAGCTTGTTACAAGTTGTTAACAGCTTGTTCCAAACTTAATACAACAACTGGGAAGAAGCAATGGGAACACAACTTGTTGGCAGCGAGAAATCAGGTTCAAATTAACGAGAAATGGTCTGCAATTAAGTTGTTATAAATCTGTCCACAAGCTGTCGACAAGTTGTAATCACGCTGCTTGTTCCCAGTTGTTGTAACAAGTTTGGAACAAGCTGTTAACAACTTTTAACAAGCTTGATGGCATCATCAGACTGGTTACAAGATTGTTCTAACAAGCCTGATACAGTCATGACATAACAAGAATGTTACAAGATTGACGACACAAGGTTGTAACAATGTTGTTATATCATAACTGTATCGGACTTGTTGGAACAACCTTGCAACAAGTCCGATAATATCAACAACGTTGTTTCAACTGTTAACAAGTTAAAGTGCCTATGCAACGAAATTTTCACCTCATTTTTTATTGTTTTTCTAAAAAGTACTGCTCGAGTGATGAAGAATGACGTTTACAGTTTCGTTATATCTCATTCTCAAGTTATCGCACTTTCTATATTTTGAGTTGTGACGTCACAAGTATGAGTTGAGATAATGGCAATAACAAGAAAGTATGATATCTTGGTGGGTATTTAATAAAATTTAATGAAACATGGTACACTTAGTGGGTGCAACAAAGTCAACAATTTGGCTTGTTTGTATGGTTGTTATGGCAACACACTCGTCCCCAGTCCATTCTCTTCCAATTTCCATATGATCCATTTTCAACGAAATAAATAGCAATTTCTACAATTTTCGCTTATTACTATAATACGTGTAGGTATTGTTATCAGTTTATACCGTTATAATATGTAAACATCCTCTGCAAGAGGTCTACGGGAGGAAAGTTGTGAAAGGAAGAGAAGAGACTGGGACTAGTGTGTTGCCATGACAACCACACGACCTACCAAAAATATTCATATGAGTGCACCCACAAAGTGTACCAAGTTTCATTGAATTTTAGTAAATACTCACCAAGATATCATACTTTCTTGTTATTGCCATTATCTCAACTCATACTTGTGACGTCACAACTCAAAATATAGAAAGTGTGATAACTTGAGAATGAGTTGAGATGTGACGCAACTGTAAACGGCATTCTTCATCACTCTTAGAAAAACAATAAAAAATGAGGTGAAAAATTCGTTGCATAGGCACTTTAAGAGCAAACAGATCACGACACTTTTGTATATAAAAAGAGCGTGTGAATTAAACAAGTCACATATTATTAGCACTGATGAAGATCCGGGCTTACGGATCGAAAGCTTTGCAGTAATAAATTTACGTGGTGTTTCCACAAACAAAACTATTATATTTTATCGCCATGCAAACATACAAAGAACTTATTTGTTAACAGCTTGTTCCAAACTTGTTGACAACTTGGTGCAAGCAGTGCGAACACAACTTGTTGACGCCTTGTTGGCAGACTTTTGCTACAAGATGTGAAATTTGTGTGTGTGTGGTGTTGAATCGGAAGCTAACTGTTCTATTGAACAGTGGGTGGTGAAACCTACCGGCCATAATAAAGTTATCTAACAAATAGATAAGGCCAAAAAAAAATATGTGGGTTTCCGGTTTCCCGACCCTACCTAGCTTTTGGACGTCGAAATCCCGACCCTAAACTTTTTTATTGGATCATGCTTGTAAGTGTTTCCACTTAGAGAAAAAAGTTTGTGGAAAATTGAAATTTGAGGCAATATTAGGGAAATTTATCTTTGGATGTGGAAGCACTGACTAAACAAAATGGCGTCCGCTTATTCGGAAAATTAAAAAAAAAGTTTAAAAAAACCCAGTTAAAACCGACCTACCCTACCTAAGTTTTTATAAGAAGAAACCGGAAACCCACATATTTTTCTTTTTGGCCTAATGTGGGAAGTACCAAAAACGTGGCTCACTAAGCGAGTGGGTGCTGCAGCAGACTTGTAGCAATGCTGTTCCAACAACTTGTCAACAGGATGTGTTCGCACTGCTTGTTCACAAGTTGTCAACGGCTTGTTGACAACTTGCTACAAGGTTGTTAAGCTCAACAGACTTGCCACAAGTTGTTCCAACAGCTTGTTATCGTCCTGCAATTCAACAATTTGTCAACAAGTTGTGAGTGACAACCTTGTAGCAACTTGATAAAATAACATTGTTACAACTTGTTGACAACAAGCTTGCTACACACGCAAAAATCTCACATCTTGTAACAAGTCTGCCAACAAGCCGTCAACAAGATGATTCGCACTGCTTGTCACAAGTTGTCAACAGGTTTGGAACAACTTGTTGACAACTTGTAACAACCTTGTCGAAATTATCAGACTTGTTGCAAGGTTGTATGTCGAGGTTACAGGCATATTTTCAAATATACTGTACTTTAACAAACAAATTTACTGTACTGTCCTACAGCAACTATCCGGTCGTGCAAACGGGATAAAAAAACGATATAAACTTTATAAACTATATTTCTAATACATGCATGCAGATTCGGCCATCTCAAATAATGGTAATGTTGGGATAGTAGCGTTGCAGACTGCAGAGGAGAGTGGGCAGTAAGGCTCCCTCATGCACCACCCCCATGGGAAACCTGCACCCCTCCTTGCGGATGAGGCTAGATCAGCCCCTGATTAAAATGTTCTGAGTAACAACTTTGTAACAACATGATGAGGTTACAACCTTGTTACAACTTGTTCACAAGCTTGTTACAAGGTTCGTTGCAAACACATCTTGTTGACAAGCTGCGAAGATATTTACTAGTTTTTTACGTGTGCCAACGACATTTTGTGACAGAACCATTTAAATTTATTAATCCATAATAAAATTTAACATTTTACACCCGTTTTCAAAATTACGCGACCTCCCTGAAAAATACTCCTACTTCAAATGTCAGTTTTATGTCGCAAGAACTGCTAAAAATAGCAAACGTAAACAAACTGTCTAAAGACATTTTAAACCGTATTTAATACCAAAACTGAACAAAAATGAGTCAGATAACTTAGATATACAAACTAAAGCACAATACAAACCATCACAACATAAATATGTGCCGTGAATGACTTTTAAAGTTTGAAAAATAACAATTTATCCTGGAATATAGCTGTCAGGATAAAACACGCGCGCTAGACTATAACGGTGATGTTATGATTTTGTCGTGCTTAAATTTTACAATAATTCTCACTAAAATATCTTGAAAATCATTGTAAGTCTGTTTATATGAAGCATACAAAGCATATAGTAGTATACATCGACAAGGAACCGCAAAACTCAAAATTTGAACTTCGTGATCGAATGACATAAAACTGACATGTCAACTCTAGCATTTTCGTCTTTGGTCGCGTAATTTTGAAAACGGGTGTAAAGCACACAAGTCAATAATAATAATTTAACGTTTAATTTTATACATTATATAATACATCGCAAAAAGAATAATTTAAATAAAATGTAACTAATTTTCTATAAACCCAACGTACGACAGTCCAAGCTTTAATATACCCAACGTATTTAAATTTTGAATACAATGTCAACAAATAGTTTAATTAAATAAAGTTTCTTTACTTTACTACAAATAGTCTTCAACTTTTAAATAACAAAATAAATTTTACACTATATATATTTTGCTAAATTTGAAACCTTCAATAATTTGACATAAAAATTAGAACTAGTACTACTATGTTTTAAAATAATGAAATTTAACGAACTCGAGTAAGCAAAAGTCAAATAGTTAAGAAAGGTTATAGATCAAACTATCAACAATCTTTATAAAATGCAACAGAAAAATCTTAACTTATTTGATTGACGATGTTGATTTTAGTATCTATTCTATCGTTAGATAGAATAAATACTAAATAAAATCAACATCGTCAATCAAATAAGTTACGATTTACTTCTCGAGTGTTAAAAAAAGAATATCACCGACTAAAAAGTCATCAATAATTCATAAGGAAAAGACAAAGACTACCTTGTCGATAGTGTTAAAGTGCCTATACGACAATTTTTTATGATTGAATTGCAAAGTTCATTTAAAATCATAATATAATTTGTTTTCTAAAACTTTGTAATCTTTCCTGTGTGTCAAGATTTTCGACTTTGTTTGATATACAAATGTGACTTAAATGAGGTCACACTGCATAATGCGTTTTACAGAAGACTGTTGTAGCTTGTTAAAATTCTCATTATCTCAAATTTACAGACGAAATGATCGCTTTGATAGCTCTTAAAGTATATCACTTTCAATGTCAATGGAATTATCACATGTTTGGCAAGGAAACGTTTTCTTTCTAAAAACTCATTATGCAGTGCGACGTCATTCAAGTCACATTTGTATATCAAACAAAGTCGAAAACTTGGCATACAGGAAAGATTATAAAGTTTTAGAAAACAAGTTATATTATGATTTTAAATAAACTTTGCAATTCAATCATAAAAAAATTGTCGCATAGGCACTTTAAACCATGAGCCTTCATACTACTAGTCTACTACATGATCAGATGTCAACATTCATATTTTATCGATACGGGAAAGGTCCAGGACCTGTTTATTTAGGCCAATTACCTTATCCGGCAAAGCGAGTTACACAGACAAAAGTCTCGCATCTTGTAGCAAGTCTGCCAACAAATTGTCAACAAGTTGTATTCGCAATGCTTGTCCCAAGTTGTCAACAAGTTTGGAACAAACTGTTAACAACTTGTAACAACCTTGTTGATATTATCAGACTTGTTACAAGGTTGTTCCATTAATAAGTCCGATACAGTCATAACATAACAATATTGTTACAACCTTGTGTCCTCAACCTTGCAACACTCTTGTTTTACCATGACTGTATATCGGACTTGCTAGAACAACCTTGCAACAAGTCTGATAATGCCATCAAGCTTGTTGCAAGTTGTTAACAGCTTGTTCCAAACTTAGAACTGCTTGTTCCCAGTTGTTCTAACAGGTTTGAAAATGTTCCATACATTTTCAAACCTGTTAGAACAACTGGGAACAAGCAGTGCGAACACAACTTGTTGACAGTTTGTGAACAGATTTGTAACAACTTGTTTACAAACCTGTAACAACTTGTGCGTTTTTAAGCTTGTGTATAGGCGGGATGAATATATTACCATGTAAACACTTTGCCGGGTAACTTGGCCCCCGAGATAAAATGTATTTGCTTTGCATTTGAAAAATAATAGCTCAAAAACTCATACGAATCAACATAAGTTTTCCTGAATTTTTCGGCACTTATTCTTGTATTTTCACGACATTTTGTAATATTTTTTAACGTTTCAAATGACTTAAATCCTTTTTGTGTTTTGGCGCAATTTCGACGTTATGCAAATGCCGACTAACTCGATTCCATACAAACAGAGCGCTTGTTCGTCCCGCCTGGGCGAGTATAAAGGCCATTTTCCATTGCAGTCGCTTTGCCCGCGCGGGCGGAGCGAACATTACTCAACAACATTCTCTGTAGTTGCCTAACCTGTGCATTTTTTGTCCGCCTGAACGCTCGCGGACACGCCATGAAAGTAGAACTACATTCAACTTTCTTGGCGTGCCCGGGCCTGATTTTTCACGTGATTAAAATTGGGCGGAGCGCCCGCGCGGGCAAAGGACTGATTTTAAAAATTTGGTTGCGAAATGTTGTAAAGCTTGGAAAATATAGCCTTGCAAAGTTTGCAAATTTTGTATATGTTTGTATTACGTGCGCAAATTGTTACCATTTGCGACTCAAAAATGGTAACAATTTCCGCACGTAATACAAACATTGAGAAAATATGCAAACCTCGCAAGGCTATATTTTCCGTATTTAAACAACATTTCGTAACCAAATTTTGCGATCTTACTAATTTTAATAAGTTCTTTACGGGAATTTACTTTTTTTTTTTGCCTAGATCAAAAATTAGTCTAACATGCAAGTTGTCTATTATACATATAGTTCTCTCGCGTGAGATTCCCAAAATCGTGATATTAAAATGATACAAACGCTACGATTTATGAAGCCCCATTAACTTCTGTGAAACCTCGAAATTATACACAGCCTGTGCAATGCCAAAGAGAGGCGCGATAACCATTATACGAGGCACAGCCCCCTTAAAGAAGGAGCCGAGACCCTCATGTTTATAAATCTTTATAGCACAGTCCTTGATTCCCAGGTATCTAGGCTCGCTGTGCCCATTGGGAAGAACTTGCAGTCTTGTTTTTATGACGTCGCAAGGTGTAACGGCAAGGGCGCTGACCAGTGCCGAAGCGAGACCAGAGGCGCACGAATGTAATGTGCTAGACTTTTCACCATTCGGTCCAAAACCCTGTAAATCACACAATTGATAGAATCAGAATGTGTTTTGAATATACAGGATGTCACAAAAGTGACCCTTTAGGAATCACCCTTTTCAGTTATGAACACCCAAACTTCGTTACCTCTGGGAGTTAAGAATGCATTGCTGGGGGTGTACCCCAGGCCTCGAATTTCCCTGAAATCAATCGACGGCAATGCCGTTAAAAATTGCCGTAGAACGTAACAGCTGTCTGCGGCAATTTTGGCAGTTTCCACGGCATTTTTCAAATTATTGTAATAAAAAGTTAATTTTATTGTTACTTCGGATTGTTGACAAGCTAGAAACATGTCTACGTATTTCTTTAATGTTTTTTTTTTCGAAGAAAACTGAGACTAAAATAGTGATTTACGCATGATTTGATCAACATCTGAATTCAAGTATCAAAGTAGTAATATGCACAGTGAATAGTATAAAAATTGCACTATACGGAAAAAATTGTCTTTGTTGCCGCAATGATCCACGGCATTTTGTTCTCCCTCTACGGCAATTGCCGCGATAAAATTCGAGCCCTGGTGTACCCCACCTAGTGGTGTTTAACATCCCCCTATAGAGAAGTCCAGCAACACACTAAAAAATCTGCTTGATCATACAATTTCTGCTTTTCGAATAGCGGAACATTTACTGTCAGCGAGTGTCAATTTCTTCAAACGATTTAATTGATTTATGAGCTCACGAGAAAATATTCAGAATGCTTTAGTTAAATATAAATGCATGGTTAAATATGTAAACATGTCGAGGTTGTTATACAGCCATATTTTCAAATATACTGTACTTCAATAAGCAAATGTAATGTACTGTGCTACAGCAACTGTCCAGTTGCATATAATTCGCCAGCATATTAAACAACTGTTATTTACGTTATCGATATCAGTACAAAGAGAATACTTCGCAACGCACCGATTTAGAGAGACCTGATTTTAAATTTGGCGACCAGATCTTATTCACCGGTAGCAATTAAATAATTTTCAAAATTTCAAACCCTAATGCGGTGTACTCAAGGATTTTGTATTGCTTGGATTAGGATTAAAGATTGAGTTAGACTTATATGATTAGGGTTGGCTTAAGGTAGGTTAGGATCTTACAGTCAGGATAAAGAATAGTTTAAGGTATGTATAAAAATTCGATGTATTAACGGAGAAATTTAGTCAGAAATATTTAGTCACATTGCATGAGCAAATATTTCACTTTTTCTTCATAAGATGTGTTTGCAACAGACTTTATGCAGTAGCAAAGTGGTTGTTGATGACAATATTTAGCGACTGTAAAGAAATTGAAATCCAGATTACTTACCAGAAAGTTGAGGTGAGAATATATTGTAAAATGTAAGCACGAGAAAGGTATGTCCCTATAGAAAAGAAAATTTACATCTCAGTTTTAGATATTTATCAGATCTTAAATATAATTTATTTATTGTAGATAGCATTAACTTATCAGTTCTAAATCAGCATTGATCCAGTGTTACTACAGGAGGAAACATCAACTAAACTAACTTGATCTATGCTGGATAGCTCTATCAGTTCTAAAACTGTTTTCCCTATGTAGAGGTCCAGTAAAGATCATCTCTTATTGTTCCAGTGCTACTACATCAGGGAACCTAAACAAAACTAACTTTATTTATATTGGATAGCTCTATCAGTTTTAAATTGTTCTTCCTTGAGGTGCAGTAAAGATCATCTCTTATTGGTCCAGTGTTACTACAGGAGGAAACCTCGACTAAAGTAACTTGATTTATACTGGATAGCTCTATCAGTTCTAAACTGTTCTTCCTTGAGGTCCAGTAAAGATTATCTCTTATTGATCCAGTGTTACAACAGGAGGAAACATCAACTAAACTAACTTGATTTATACTGGATAGCTCTATCAGTTCTAAACTGTTCTCCCTAGAGATCCAGTAAAGATCATCTCTTATTGATCCAGTGTTACAACAGAAGGAAACCTAAACTGAGCAAATTTTATCGATCCATTGTTACTACAGGAGGAAACCTAAACTACTAGAGAGCATGAGAGTTGAGAAACCTGTCATGGAAACTTTCGCTTCTCAACTCTCATAGTTCTTACCTTAATAATGTAGCACCAAGACCTCGGTATATTCCCGTGATTCCTTTTGTTTGTAAAAGATATTTGGTCAAAGCCAACGCAGAAATGTTAGGTCTCGTAGTGTACACATTACTTGTCTTTGCTGTTGTATGTAGCTTGGCTGTCATCAGTGGTTTCATGCTGTTCGATACTGCAGGCTTGATAGCTGACAGAGGAAGATGCATTATTAACTTATGAGGATCCGGGTTTGTCAAATAAACTTAATAGTGAGCTTAGGCAAGTGACGAGTTTTTCTCAACACGGACGACAGATTGCCGAGGGGGTCCGGATTAAAAATTGTGATTGCGTCAGTTTGTGGTACACATGCACGTAAAAACGCACAAGTTGTAACAAAGCTGCGGCAGACTTGTAGTAATGCTGGTCCAACAACTTGTCAACAGGACGTGTTCGCACTGCTTGTTCCCAGCTTGTTGACAAGTTGTGTCAACGGCTTATTAACAATTTGCTACAAGGTTTTTGAGCGCAACAGACTTGTTACAAGTTGTTTCAACAACTTGTTATCGTCCTACAATTCAACAATTTGTCAACAAGTTGTCAACAAGTTGTGAGTGACAACCTTGTAGCAACTTGATAAAATAACAACATCGTTGTTGAGAAGCTTGCTACAAGCCCGTTGCAAACACGTGTTGTTGACAAGTTTTTGCGTGTGTAATCGTCAACACACACACGCGTGAAAACGCACAAATTGTTGCAAGTTTGCAAACAAGTTGTTACAAATCTATTCACAAGCTATCGACAAGTTGTGTTCGCACTGCTTGTTCCCATTCCTTGTAACAAGTTTGGAACGAGCAGAAGCTGTTAACAACATGTAACAAGCTTGATGGCATTATCACGCTTGTTACCAGGTTGTTCTGAGAAGTCTGATACAGCCATGACATAAGAAGAATGTCACAAGGTTGACGACACAAGGTTGTAACAATAGTGTTATATCATGCCTGTATCGGACTTGTTGGAACAACCTTGCAACAAGTCTGATAATTTTTACGCCCCAAATATTATTTACATCGGAGTTGCATCATAAATTGTACTCGGATTCAAACGACACAATGTCAATGATTTTATAAAAGTAAAAGCATATTGCGTATTGGCCTATTTGGGTTTACACTTTTACAGGTTCATTTAACTTTAACTCTCTCAAGTCTCAACAGACAATCGGACATGCCAAATCCATTGATATGACAACTTCAAAAAACTTTTTTTCGAAGCTAGAAATCATGATTTTTTCAAATTTTTCCTGGGATACTTTGTTTTCTGCTCTCTAGA